ATCGATCGATAGATAGGAGAGAGAGTAGATATATAGAGATTGTTAGATAGATAGGCAGATAGATTCAGAAACTGATAAATTGAGAGGGATGTGTATATAAATATATATATACACATATATTTAGTTAGATGTCTATATACATACAAATGTATCTATATTTGTAAATAAAATTATACATATATGTATACATACATATATGTATATATATACATATGTATATTCACGCACGCACGCACAAACACACACACATATACACACATATACATACACATATATACACATACACATATATACACATACACACATATATATATACATACACATATATATACATACACACACATATATATATACACATTTATATACATACATACACATATATACATACACATATATATACTTACACATATATACTTACACATATATATACATAGACAAATATATACATATATACACACACACACATATATATACATACATATATATATACATACACATATATTTACATATATATACATATGTATATACATATATATACATATACATATATATACATTTACATATATATATACATATATATGTATATATATATACATATATATATATACATATATACACATATATATACATATATATATACATATTTATACATATATATACATATATACATATATATACAAATATATACATATATATACAAATATACATACACATACAAGCTATCTCTTTAAGTGAGAGAGAGAGAGAGAGAGAGAGGGGGAGGGAAGAAAGTGAGTTATATATATATGTGAATGTGTGTGTGTGTGTAAAGAAAGAGAGAGAGAAAGAAAGAGAAAGAGAAAGAAAGAGAGGAAGAGAAAGAAAGAGAGAAAGAGAGAGAAAGAGATATATAAAGAGAAAGAGAGAAAGGGAGAAAGAGAGAGAGAAGGTGAATTGGCTCGAAATTCCTTAACCAGTAACTGTCATTGCTGCACACGACACGCAGTGAAATCCCTTATCAATCGCCTATATAAGTGTGGAGCGTTGCCTGTCGTTTCAGGTAGAACTTCGCAAATCACAATCGATCCTGTCGTTTCAGAACTGACTTTCAGAGTAACTTGACAGTGTGCAGTGTTGATACAACTTCAAAATGCCTGATCCTTGCTGTAACGGTAAGAAAGTTTGTTAATATTCTTTCTCTAAAGTTGTGAAGTATATATTTTTTATTTCAGACTTTACCAGAAATTCCTTAACAGAAATGTTTAGTCTTTCGCACGGTGATCAGTCTTATTCTGAATTTACTGTTGATTCTATCATTTTTCTTTTCAGAGAAATGCGTTTGTGCTGAGGGTGGCTGCATGAAGAGCTGCAAGTGCACAAGCTGCAAATGTAAGCATGAGGACCTTTTTTTAGCTTGGGAAAAATAATTTATGTATGAATAGGGAGGCGTGCATTTTTCTCTAACTCTATGTAGAGCGAAAAGGCAATTTAGATATAGTTTTTTTTTTTTTTTTTTTTTTTTTTTTTTTTTTGCTTATTTTAGATCATTTCGTATCTGTAAAAGATGCATCTGTTACAGATCACCCCAATGCCGACAGGCATGACCTGTACGTACATGCCATCCCACTGAGTTTACTTGTTTAATTGTTTTTACACTGGGATGGCTGCACTGGTACTAAATCGCCATGAGCCAATTACGAGTACTGCCAGTCTCGCCCGTTTACCCCTTTTCCTTTATTTACGAGACCTTAATCTTATCTTGCTGATACTTTGCTATAAACATTAATTAAGACTTTTATGATAAAAAAGGAACCAATTGATATTTTTAGTATTAGTAAGAAAAATTACCGCCAATTCAAAAGGCCTACTAGTTGACTCCTCTGTAGCTAAGCAGTAGCGGAGCCATCTAATGTGCAGAAATATTGCTCAAATATAAAAAATGAGCACGGCATTTTCCCATGTTCTTATTTTCCCCGGCGGCACTGGGTTAAGAGGGAACTCTCCCTCCTTCCCTCGCATTATAATTGCCTAACTATACATTATATTCTAGGCTCGTCTGGCTGCGCGTGTCCCTCCAAGGAGGCGTGCGCGACGAGATGCACGAAGCCATGCAGCTGTTGTCCATAGACGTGACTCGACTACTGCCTTCCGCATGACCAAGCAACAAAAATATTTATTCTTCTATCTCTCGTATGTTATGACTGAATTATTGGAATGTGTCTGAATAAATGAAAGAATGTGAAAAGGTGGTTTTTAATTCTCATTCTATTTATAAGATCTATGTTCCTGCCACAAACATTTATGTATGTGAGGGAGAAGGAAAAGCAAGAGGAGGGAGAAAGAAAATCGTATGCTATGACTGAATTATTCGAATATGTTTAAATAAATGGAAGAAAGTGTGAAAAGGTGTATTAATTTTGTGTTGTAATTGTCTATTTGTAATGTATATAAAATGTGTGGCAGGAATGTGGATATGTGAGGGAGAAGGAAAAGACAACGAAAGAATCGGACAGAGGAAGGG